TATATATACAACATAAAACAAACTTATAACAAACTTGAAGCACAGTGGAATATGTTTTTACTCTTTATTTATAAGGATCAGATATCTGCAAACACTAATTTGTTTGATATTTGATATTACATAAAAAATAAATCCTGATGTAAAGCATAGTGTAGAGATTTAACTTGTTCTCATATTTGTAAAATCTAAGTTATGATGGAACTGTTTCCTTGTAGAGGAAAAAGAGCTGATAGTGTTATTAGAAAGCCCAACACTTTTTATGTTTTTAATTGAAAATTTTCTTTATTATTTTATTTCACTGCACCTGTATGAACAAAATATAGCCTAGATTCTGATATTGTTGAAAAGGATGTGTTGTAAATAATAATTATGGAGATGTGCACTTATGTTGAAACAAATCTGCATTGTGAAGCAACACCACTTGCACTGAATTGGAAATATCTTTGTAAAATTCACTGAATTACAAGGCTTTACAGAATAGTGCACTATTATCAATGATTTAGAGGTTATAAATACCACTTTAATAATAATATGTCGTGATCTATAGTGGGCGGTTGGAGGCATCAAACTCCAGGGCTGAAAATGAGTCCCACTCCGGCCCTGATAGGGACCAATGCCCGGTCCCCAAGGGTACGAATGCTAATTTTGGGTGGGGAGTTTAGTTTAGGACCAAGGTGTGAACTCACTTCACACCTTTTATTTATTTATTTTTTATTTTAATTTTTTGCATTATGGGGACCATTTTCCAGAAAAACTGCTTTGTATAGACATAGTGCACCTTATGGTATGTGCTGGGATGGTTGGGTAGATGGAATGGAATGGAAGTCAATCCAAACTCCCCATAAGGATAGAAAAACCAACATTTTTGTGTGGTTGTGAGTAAAATCTGTGTAAGAGTCTCTTGTGTTTGGTATTTAAATACATTTTTCCTATTGATTGTTTTGTGTGGAGCACATTGATCAACATTTGTTTTAAATGTGTTTTCAAATACATTTAATTTGATTTGATAAAGGTAGCTTAAAAAAACAAGGTTTGCACAACACCATCTCTGAACACACAATCCAACCTTGAAGGAGATGGCCTACAGCAAGAGCCACACCTGTCAACTAAGAACAGAAAATTGAGGCTCCAAGYTTCATGAGCTCAACAGAAATGGACAGTAAGAAATTGGAATAAGTGCTGCCTGGTGGTTTCAGTGAACTCTAATGGTGCATGCAGCCAGTCACCAGATCTCAACCCAGTCAAACACCATTGGGATGTGGTAGATGTAAATGTTAACATGCTAATATGGACCAGAATCTCTGGTATAAAGAATTAAGGAAAGTTTGAATCCAATGGGGATCCCATTTACTAGTAACTAGGTGTACATAATAAAGTAGTCGGTGAGTGTAGGTTTATATCACACTTACTCTTTCTCCAGAAGCTGTTTTACTGTAAGGTAGGCCCAGACCCTCTGAAGGCGACCTTCAACCACTGTTTCATTAGAGGGCTCCACAGGGGTATCGGTGTTAGAAAACGTCATTGTTCTACTGTTCTATTATAACATAAAGAATATTGTAATGACAGGACACAGGGAGTATCAATGGTGTTCAAAAGTTTAGACTTGTACTTTGTGTTTTAAATGACTGATTCTTACTGAAATGGCCACAACTTGTGGACTGAAGGTTTCAATGTCATTGTTCATGATCTCACCAGCCACCACAATCTCAGATCCATTATAGTACTGACTGAAATTAGTTTGGGTCAAATTGGTTCCACCAATGTAGATCATCATCACG